TGAAAAATACAGCAATGCCACAAAACGAAGTCCTTACTAGTTCTTGGAATTTTAGTAATAGCCATAAAATTCACTGTTGGCACCTTACTCTTTAGAAGTACTAAGCAAGTTAAACGATCTGGCCTCAATCCTGCAGCTCTTCTCCTCATATGATGGTTTTTAAAACACATGTGGCGAAGAGCTCCATGAATGGATTCCAGAATTTTCAAGGAGAAATGCCTATAAACATGTTCATAAATCCATGTCTAATTTTTTTTAACGAGGTTATACTCATTTTCCAATTTTCTTGAGCTTCTGAAAATTGCAAATGCTAGAGCTTTCAAAAAAAAATCAAGCCAATTTATGCAGGCCTTTAATCTGAATTAGGGTCTGGATTAAGACCATTTTCTATAACTGTCCATTGTAGGCATCACAGCTAGTCCTGTGAAGGCTAAAGGAGGCACAGGCTGACAGCCCTGATGTGTTCTGCATTGATCCTAGTTCTCTGGAGTTAAAATATCACAGGAGAGCTGATTAAGATGATGGACATAGGACTAATGAGGATGCCTTCTATTCTACCAAGTTTGGAAACTTGGCTCACAGACTGACATGCAATATTCCCACTGGAGGCACACTATTACCGTTCATCTTAACAGAGTGGCCCATCGCCGATCACGCAGCAGAACACTTTCAAAACCCTGCCTGTACTAAATGATTTAATCTTCAAAAAAAGTCAAGGCAAAAAATAAATGCAGGTGATCGGAAAACCATGAAGAAAGGCTAGAAAAATTACTGCCATTTTAGCAAGAGCTTGGCAACTTGTGTAAGTTTGAGTGATGGCATAGATGCACAAGTCATGCCAGCTTGTCTGCACACACACCATGTAATATCCACATTCACAAGTGGTGTGTTCCAGCCCAAGGAGTCTTCATTTAAAGTAGACAATGAAGGAGTTGAACAACTCCGCTTGTGGTTGTCTTCTCTAGCATGGAAGTGTATTTTTAAGTCATGGGATCTATTTAGGAGAGCCAAAACTATGTATACCAGTGGCAGTTGCAGAACTGGGTGTGAGCGAGCTAGGCAGCCTGACGGCTTGAAGAAATGGAGCATGGAGACAGGAAAGAGACAGTTATCAGGAGAAGGACTTGTGCAGTGGGGAGTGTGTAATTCAGCCACACTGTCCTCTACTGGCTAAGCCCAGATTGCTGAAAAGGATGGTGTGTTCATGCTGTTTTCATTCTTTGGGGCACAGTTTAAGGCATTTCAGCAGAATTATACTTTCAAACAGTCTGCCTTCTTCACCTCATCTCTCTCTGCCCTCAATACTTTTAAAAATCAAGAAAGCTGTATGACTGTCAAAGCTTCAGGATATTCACTCCCCAGCTCATGCCTTAAGACCTCTGTCAGAAGCAAGGAAGACTTTCAAGATGGGGGATTTCGATCAATTTAATTTATTGCCAGTTAATGAACTTTTAATTACTGATTTAAAGAAAAAACAAAACCACTTCAGAAAAAAAAAATAAACTCAGTTACCCTCCATACAACAATCCTCTCCTCTTCCTGGTCTCCCACCCCCTCACTGTGGGCTACAATTAGTTGCTTTGAGAAGGTGAGGGCTGGTGCAGGAGATGGGGGTCAGCAGGTGGTGGTTGCTTTCCTTTTTTCTCCTTGCTTCACACTCAGTTGGCCAGAGTGGGTTCCTTTACCAGCTGGTGATCTATGAGAGTTGAGCCTCCTCCTCTCTGCCCCTGCTCCAGCAGCTTTACTTCCTCTGCCTTTGCTTGAGATCCTATTTTGCTCCAGCATTTCTCCTGCTCTGCCATCTCTCCTCTCTCATCCTGCTCAAGTGTGGTCTTCTCTGTCTTTCTCCTTCTCTTCTAATGGTGGTGTCTCTTTTTCTTAGCATTTACCACTCTTTTTCAACATGTGTTCATAGAGGTTCAGTGTTGCAGGCAGAGATGGCTGCAAGTGGCTGCATCCCACACAGGGTGGTCCGTGCCCTCCTTCCACAGAGACCAACCCACAGCCACCCTTCTGCCAAAGCCCTACCAGTTCTGCCCAATACACAGCTCAAGCCCACCTTGATAATAAAAAAATATCTGGCCAACTTCTACTTCTACATTTTCTCCAATCTGGAGATTCTTTTTCCTTCACAAAAGCCTTTAGATTTCTGGATACAAATATTTCTGGTATCTCTGGATGGATCAGCCTGATGAGATCTGAGATAAGGAATCTGAATGAAAGCAGGTCTTTCTACACAGCCCTGCACATCCCCTAGCGTGCTGCTCTGGACGGCTTCAGCTTGCAAAGTGGCTGCTCTGTGCTCTGCCAGGCTCCCACAGATGCCAACAACCCGTGTGCTGCTTTCAGGTTCTGGACGACAGCTGAGACCAGCCGAGCCTCCAGGAGATGCTGATGCTGATGCAGATGCAGAGGATGAAGATTCCGTGAGTTTTTTTTAGAGCTGGCTTTTTTTTGAGATGGGGATTTGGCGGTTACCTTGTTAAAACGGGGTCTTAAATATTTTTTTTATAGCTGGGTCTTGCTGGTGATTTTTTTCTCCCCATTAAAATGTTGTATTTCTGCTTGGGATTCTCCTGTCAGCTCAAAAGCCAGAATGATGCTTCAATATAAAGTGATCTGCTCTTTGCCATGATTCATCAGCATAGGTTTAATACCAAGACTTAGCAAACTATTACATGGCTGTTTTCTACAGCAACTTTTCTTTAAAGCTTTAGCCTATCTAGGTTCCTTGCCATTTGACTCCAGAAGGACCCATGCCAAGTGCTTGTCAGCAGAAATTAACTGGGAATCTGTCATAGTTTGCTTGGTGGTAGAGGGTAATAAAGTTTGAAGCTGCAGGATGCAAAGGATAGGTGTGCAAATAAAGCTGGGGAGAGAATTATTATTGCCTTTTTAAATTATTACCAATTGATTCGTCAGTATTTTTAGTCTGTCCAGCTGACAGATGCATCTACAATACATCAAGAAAACCAAAATCAGCAAAATCATTATTTTTGTCTCTCAGGAGTCTGTCCTAGTGTGCTTGAGTAACATCCTTAAATGGATTTGCGTTTGTTCTTGACCTGAGTAAAGAGTTACTGGTTATTCTACACCCACCATTACTAATCAAAGATTTGTACACAGAAGAAGACTATGTCAAGTAAAAATCTCTCTTAAAAATACGGATCACTGTCTAATGGTGGATGTTTCTTTCCCACCACTCATTTCTTTTCCACAGGTTAATGAAGTGGCAGTAGAAGACATCCGTCCAAGGCCACAGGGATCCTCTCCAGTTTATGAATATTCTATAGAAGAAGAATATTCAAAGGCAAGACACTGAGTTTTCATGCTGGCATGGCTTTACCAAGTTAATTCAAGGGGCTCTAGCTCCTACGACTAGCCAAGGCTCATATGTCATGGAACATTGTTGCAGCCATATTTTCTTCCTGTGCCCACTAAAGTCAGGGCTGTGTTCTCTGTGTGTGTCAAGAAATCACAGTGCTTTTGCTATTAGAATATTTAACTGGCTTGAATCTAGCTAATACCTACTTCAAAATTTGCTGTACCTCTTGGCTATTCAAAGTTAAAGGTTAAATTACTACAGTCATGTTAAGATAAACAGGCAACAGTTTGAAATTCACGCTGAAGTCAAATAAATGAAAAAACTGTGTGTTCATAAAGATGAGAAATGTGAGTGTAGCATTAGAAATGTATTGTGTGAGTAACACACAGAAAAGCTCCCAGTGTCTAAATCCATTTGTGGTGTTCATTTCATGTAAATTTTGGTAGAATACAGGGTGGCCTTGGCATCCAATTTACTACTGGGAATAACATAGTTAAATCATTTACAGTGTACATTGCTCTTGTAGATGCTAGTTTTCCTCTGTTCCTGTTAAAGTCAGCCTCAGTCCCTGGTCTGTAGGACCTTTGTTGTACTTTACCACAGCGTGACTTCTGAACACTAAATAATCGCAAATTATTTTTCAGCTTCAAGAAGACAGCAAAAAACATCCTACAGACAAATCAAAACAGAGCCATCCACAGGTAGGTGTAAAAGCACTCTAGTTTTAGGCATGTGGCTTGCAAAACAGTAAAGCCTGTTACAGCACACGGACGTGGACAGAAGGAAGGACAAATGGGCAATCACTTTCGACTTGTTTTGACCAAGAACTTCACAAATTGTCTAGTTGTGGCACAGGCATGAACACTTGCTTGTCCTATTTAGGTCCTTCTGTAATTCATTTTCAGCATTCTTTGGCCTTAGTCTGGTTTCAGTACAGTACATCATCTGCTCTTGGTCTGACTTTTCTGGCCCATTGACTCTAATTCAGGTGCTTGACATCTTCACAGAAAATACAGTCTTTCAGCTCTAGAAGATCCATGTGCTTCACATTTTAAAATTATAACATATTTTCCCTGTGGCCATGATCCAGAATAACCCTAATACATGGGCTTAATTCCAATTCAGAACAGAATCACTGAACAAGTACATTCTCTGTGCTAGATAATCTTTCTTGAGCTCCTGAAAATATACCTGATGAGACTCAATTTTTTTATCGTAGAATAATGTAGAACACTTTGATGCAACTTAATAAAAATAATAAATTCACACCTTTTTCTGTATCTAGGAGACAATGGAAGTGACCCTGAAAACAGAAGTGGAAGCTGGTGCTAGTGGTTTTAGTGTGACGGGTGGAGGAAATGAAGGAATATTTATTAAAAAAGTACTTAAGGAATCTCCTGCTTCAAAAATATTTAGTCTGAGAGAAGGTACAATCTGAATTTCTGTTTTGTTTTGGGTTTTTTTAAATATTTTAAAATAATCAGGTATGCAGCTGTGTGTGCATATAGATACCTACCTGATCTGTCATCCCTTTAGGCAACAGAAACAGTAGATCCCAAGCCACATAATGTTATGTGTGAGCTTAACCTTTCCATATTAGTAATATCAAAGGTCAGTTTCTTAAACAATATACCATTTGTATACCATTAAAAAAAGTCTATTTTTTGCTGAAACAGTGACAAAGATACATAGAAAGTAGTCTATACACAACCAAAATGAAAAATGCTCAACTCATAGCATTCATGAAGAACCTGTCTTTGATTAGTTCACAAAATACTCTGCCACAAAACTACACCAAGTGACTTAAACAAGAACAAAAGCTCGAAGTCTAAATACTGAGAAAGGTAAGGAAAAGCTTTGATACTGTCGGAGTTGTCAGACACTGGAAGAGGTTTTACAAAGAGGCTGAGAAGTCACCATCCTCAGAAATCTACAAAACCTGAGTGCACACAGACCTGAGCAGTGAGCTGTAGCTGACCCTTCCCTGAGCAGGGAGGTTGGACTAGATGATCTCCAGAGGTCCTTTCCAGCCTTAACTATTCCTTGATCCTATTATGTGAACAAAATTTTATAATTTAAATAAATACAATGTGAGATTTTTTTTGGGGGTGGTGTTTGTGGACATTAATACATCAGAATTTGAAAAACTACAAGAAAACATGAGCTAATTAAAGTTATGTCTGCTTCCACTTGCAGGTGATCAGCTTCTAAGTGCTACAATATTTTTTGATAATATCAAATATGAAGATGCACTCAAGATTCTCCAATATTCTGAGCCATACAGAGTCCAATTCAGCCTCAAAAGAAAAATTGCTGGGAAAGAAGAGCTGGAACACATTCACTCTACAGCCCAGCACAAAAAGGAAAGAAAATGCCAGGTAGATACTTCATTAGTTTACAAAGTTTGGACCACACTGTAATAATGTGCTGTGTGGAAATAGACCAGAAAATACACACTTGTGTTTTCCTAAGGCTTAGGAATGTGTTTAAACTTACTAGCATGAATATTCATGAGAGGAAATAATCCCACACAGTATTTGCAGCTTTTAAAATATTCTTGGAAAACTATAGATTTTGGATAAAGCCACAATCCTGCATTAGGGTAGAAAACATTCTCTAGTGAGTCAGCATTTTTATTTGTTGTTAAGTATCCACTGATAGAACAGGCTGAGATAAGCTCTGGATTATTTATATTCAATATTTTCCAAAATGTATTTTTCTCAAAAGCTCATCAATGACATTTTCTCTTCTAAATGTGTGTTTAATCACTGATATCTCTGTGTAATAGGTCTCCATCACATTCAAAATTATTTTTCTCTTCATATACTTATATATAAATATTTTATATATATATATTTGAGTAGACATATAGAAATCTCTACCTACTGCAATGTTTTGCAAAGAATGTAAACCTTCAGAAGTCTACATATTGCAGTCATATAATCCATTTGTTTTATGTAATTTCTGCCTAAATTATAAGCATCATTTTCAGGAATGTTTTTTCTCCAACAAGTAGACACAGTGAATAAAAAGCATATTTTTCTACATATTTTATAGCAGGTATTTTATTTTATATTGCATCAGTATTTAGTTTACTCTTAACCCTCTGACTACTCCTTGTTCTTTCAGGAAAAAGAACTCAGTGAGAGCATTCCTGAAGAAACACTACATGTTTCAGGAAAAGCCGTTTCAGAAGAAGACAGGGAAACATTAATTGTAAGCCAAAGGGTAGGAAGAAGCAAGAGACCTAAAAAAGACAGACTATCATGGCCAAAATTCCAGTCAATTAAAAATAAAAAGATATTGGGGCACAGAAGATCTCATAGTACATCAGATGCATATGAGTCCGCTATACAGGATATTTCCCCTACAAGCACAGACACAGAGTCTCAGTTTCAACAGGAAGTCCATATCAAAGAGAAAAAAGGAAGCCAAAAGAAACTGAAGTTCCCTAGCATTGGATTCAAAATGCATAGATCCAAACCAGAGCCACAAGACAAGCAAAGAAAAGAAATTAAAACTACATTGTTATCTGAAAGAGAGAAAATCCATAAAGAAGATATCAGCCTGGAAAATCCTGAAATCCTAACTGTTGAGTATAGCACATACCCTGCTTATGAAATTAAAACAGGGGAGGAACATGAAACTTTAACAAAAGACTTAAAAGACATGAAAAACGGCATTCCATCTCATGCAAAAAAATGCCCTGAAGTTGAAATAAGCATTAAAAAAGAAAAAGACATGGAATCAACATCAACGTTTACTGTACCTGTAGTACCAGCCATAACAACAGAGATAGCAAAGCCCAGTTTGGAAACAACTGATTTGAAAGAAAGCCCAACGAAACAAACACCACAAACCTCATCAAAATCCCGAAAAAAGAAACAGAAAGGAACAGCAGGTAAAACAGAAGGAGAAAGTGGCATTAACGTAGACACGACAGGTCACACAGCACAAGGAACCATACAAGTAAAAGGTTTAGAAATAGGCACTGCTAAAGCAGAATTACACACAATATCGGACCCACTGGAAACTGGAGAAAAACAGGCAGAACACAAACAAATGCTAACAAGCCAGAAAACAAAATTTGGGGTTTCAATGCCCAAAACGAAAGAACCAGAGACTGAAAAGAGCAAACCGGAAAGAGATGTTCCACATTCAGTAGCAGAAAAAACAACTGATATAAGTTCAAAAGATGGCAAAAATTTGGATGTGGAACCTCACATGCCTGATGAAGAAACAGAAGTATCTACTCGGAAAATACAGACACCATCATTCAAAATGGCCAAAACACCTAAAGCTGATACAAAAATACCAACAGAAGAAAGCACAGTCATATCAGTGGATATGATAAAAAAGGCAGAGACAGAAGAAGACGCCATGCCCACAAACGACATAATGTGGAAGACGGACATTGCTATAAAGACAGAAGAAAAGGATACAGAGGGAAAAGAAAGCAAATTCAAACTGCCGAAGTTTAAATTACCTACATTCACTTGGAACACTGCAAAATCTGAAACAGGGCAAATTGAATGTCAGATAAATGAAAAAGAAGGAAAAGTGCCATTATTAGAAGCAGGTGAAAAAACAGAGATGAGTGTAAAAACAGAAGAAATAAAAGATCAAAAAGATGATATCAATATTGGGATCTCGAAAGAAAAAGTAAAAGACAAGGATGTGAAAAAAATGAAGGAAGTCCACAAGCAATGTCTAAAAACTAAAACTCCAACAACTACAAATATAGAAAATAAAATACAAGAGACAGAAGGAAAAACACAAGACAGCAAACCACATATGGAAATAAAAAATGGAGAAATCAAAATAACATCAAAGAAAAAAGAAGAAAAATCTGAATTTTCCAAAGCTGACATCAAAGCTCCCAAGGTGGA